ATTCCAGGCATGCTCCTGCTGTGCAGGGCAACATGGCAAGCCACAGGGGGGTAAAAAATATAAAAGCTTGGGGGGAGACAATAGCGTCACATGTCCCTGTCATCAGCACTGGAGTTAATGAAGCTGGTGGCTGCCGTGCACACACACCACTCTCACCCAGCTACAAGTCTGGCTGACTGCTAGCAGGTCCTTGTTGTCAGCGAGCACAAAGTAATCTTCAGAGAGAAACAGCTGAACAGCTGACAGAAGTGCCACCCAGGCAAATCAAAGCAGAGCTCTGGGAACAATCAAAGGCACCTGTGATTCTACTCATGAAAAGTCATCCTGCCTTTCAGCAGATGTCCCCAGATACAAATGGAATCAAAGGCTACATCTCTTCCCACCATCTGCACACACAATATGCACGTCATTCCCAAGCATGGCTTAGAAGAGGGTTTAAAGTAAGAGATTCTTCTTTTTTAGGGTTCTGGATGTATTGTGTGGCAGGTGTAGAAGGGAAAGCAGAACACTGGACAGAAAGACTAGGAACCTGATCAGATAGTTTCCAGGGTGGTGAGACCTGCCCGCAGGCCTATGTTTCACCCCAACACCAACAAACCCAAAGGTCAATTTTTGCAGAACAAGAAGAAACCTTGTTTCCTAGCTTCTCCTTAGCCTGTTGCTCCCTTATTGCCAAGTCCAGCTCACAGCTAAATAGCCATGAGATGACAGCAGTTTTGGTCATTGACCTGGCTGAGTGTGTTGGCATAATCAACAGGCCACTCCACATATCATTTCCAGTAATTTATTTTGATTCATAATTGCATTTGGAAACACTGAACACAACACAAAATAGACACACACACACACATACACCCCAGTCCTTTCAACAAAGCTCACAAATATGTTTCACAAAGTTTCTTACTAAAACTTAGAGTGAAAAAAACCCAAACAAAACCAAAATGAAATGCCCCACTCTCCAAGGTAGACTGGCTCTTCCAGAGCCCGGCATTCTTCACATTATCATTAGAGTTCCATAAAAGCAAGATCTTGGGAGGCTGAATTCCCACATTTCATAAAGAATTTCACCTATCCACAGAGAGATTTTTGCTGTACAAACATTCTAGCAGTGGAGGAAAATCCCGGGAAACTGTAAAGTTCTTCACTGCAAGCAATACGGGGAAACACATCCATAATCACACACACTTCCTGCTCTAATGAGGCAATATACATTCATATAGAAGAAAAAAAATAACCCAAGCATATTATTAAGACATTAGGCAGTGAGGCAGTATCCATTTTATCTTCAGAAGAAATTTTACAGCAAATGGTTTCATTAAGACACTTGAAAGCAACCTACTTTGAAGGGGAAAAAAAAAAAAGCACCATCATAGCATGAAGGCTGAATGTGATTAGGAGTCACAAGCAGCACAACTCAGGCTCACCAGTGAATTTTGTCATTTGAGGACAAGTTAAATGGAGAAACAGTCAATGTGGGGACCTATGACTTGCCTACAAAAAAGCACAATGCAAGAGGACAGTTAAAGAGTGCCAAGCCACCATTTACAGAGTGTATCTAATGGTGCACAGTTCTTAGTGACCAAAGAGTAAGGTGCTGGCATTTGGACATGGAGGGTTTAACACTACAACAGTGGCAACAGCGGAACCCTCGCCCCTGAAGAGCTGCCCTGATCTGCAGAAATCCGCACTATTTGTGAAACAACAAATGCTTTTTAAAAGGTCATGGTTAAAGCAGGATAAACTAGTCTCCAAGTCTGGGTAGAGAAACAATGCCAGCTATTACCAAAATCCTTTCCTCCTGCTGACCATCTCTGGGCCCCCTCCTTACAGAAGGAAGACTTTCTGCACTGACAGCTACATGCATATAGTTTTACACATAGCATAGCATAGCATCAGCTAGGTTGGAAAAGACCTTTGAGATCATCAAGTCCAACCTTTACCCCAGGACTGACGGTGCTCACACGCTTCAGCAGCAAACTTGGTTATGAGACACTGGTCCTTGCCTCAAGGCCACACACACAACCTGCAAGTCATCTGTCAAATGCAACCTGCTCCAACACCAGGCAGCATGGATCCAGGCAGCTGCTAACACAGCGAGCCTGAGGACTGACTTTTTATGACCAGGTTTTAATGTTTTTCTACCAGTGTGGTCAATAACAAGCTCAACAAGAAAATACCCAGAAAAGAAACTGTCCTTTGGTGCACAATAAATCACAACAGTCTGCCCTTGTTATAAGTGCAAAAGGGAGTGTTACCCTTCAAAAGGCTTCTTGCTAATTCTCAGAGCTATTAAAAGGATTCCTCCAAAGTACGCATCTGAAGCTTGCCTGCCCGTCTAGATGCCTTTTAGATATCCTGTTACTTTATGCTTCCTATATCCCAAGGCATTCACAAGGTAAATCCTCTCAGGAAGAAGCCAGGACTGTTAACAGAAGCCATGTCCTTAAAGAGAAAGTCACTGTGGCTATACAGATTACAGCTGCTGAACTTCCTTTTCAGTGGGGAGTTAGCACTGCATTCTCCTCCTAAAAAAAAAAAATAATCCAGCCTTGCAACACTTTTAGTGTCCTGAATGGTTCCAGTCCCTTCTGGAACAAGTGCATAAATAAATCAAATTTACTTTAGGATTTATTCCCACTGTACTAGGTCAGTCTTGACCAAAGGTGTGGAATGGTTATGTTAGTCCAAGGTCCTTTGTCCCTGACCTGCACTGCAAAGCCCACGCTGCCTGGGAGAACACCATGGAGTGAGTCTCAGTGTAAACAGTAAAAATGAAATCCCTCATGCCAGAGCTCACTAACAGACAAGGGACAAGCCTACACTGACAGACAGGCTGCAAAGCAGTCTGGTCTCTGCCCGTGGGAGAAAGTGAGCACACTGTTCAGGAGCTGCCAGGGAAGCAATCTGCTCCTTCTCCCAGCCTGGAGAAACCACATATTTCAAACCTGTAAATGCTCCCAGAGCTCTTTCAGCTCATGGGTGTATGACTGATTTCTGCAGGGGTTGGCTACCTCTACTGCAGGTGTTTGTTCAGCCCAGGAGGTCATTCTGCCTTAATCTTCCCAAGTGCCAGCAGGATGAGATCTGAAAAGACCGCAGACCTGCCAGCCCACAGCATCCTTGTCTCCAGGGTTGCCAAGCTCCAATTCATCTCAGCAGGCATCACAAAATGTGTATGTGCCGTGGAAGCATTTACAGACAACTCATGTGAAGACAAGGTCTTTGTATGAATTTAAACTCCTACGGGCAGGCTGCAAGCTCCACACAGTCAGAAGGTCACAGAGGAACACTTAGCACAGTCCAGCTGGTGCCTTTTTCTTCACGAGGGCCAGGGAAGTGGTCAGAAACATCTTAGTATGTTCAGTTAGAGGCAGGAAGCAAGAGAGGTGTCCCCTTTACTTCCTTATAAAGGATTGCTCACTAGGTGAAAAAGGGGTAAGAGGAAATAAGGGACACTCAGTAAGTCAGTAAGTCTTTCTACATAGCCTCATTTTGAGCACAGCTGCTCCTCAATTATCTGCTGGTTATAGAAAGTGCTGCTTACGGAAACCAAACAGTACAAAGAGGGACATGGGTTTCACCTGAAACTGGGACACGGAATCAGGAGCAATACAGCAGGGATCTCAAGGGACACTCTTAACCCTGCTGCCTTTCGGCACCAAGCACCACCCATCCATTCTTCAGAGATAATGCACAGCAGTGCACAGTGGATTTCCATCATTCAGCCAACAACCCCCAGCTGCCTGCCGTGCAAGGGGAGTCAGGGGTTTTATGATTTGTGAACACTGCACACACATCTAAAACATCAGGAGCAAGGGCAAGGTTCTTCCCTCTGCTTCTGCATCTTAGGCCTGTAACTCTTGTGCTGTGGCCCCAGTCTTTTCCAGCCACATATTTCATACAACAGCAGTGCCAACAACATATACAAAGGGTTTAGAACAAAAAGCAACAACAACAAAAAAAAAACCCTCACAAAAACCCCAAAACCCAATCACCACCGAAACCTTGTTATTTCAACTAAAGCTCAAGTCCAGGCAATAATACAGTTGCAGGCTGATGAGGAACAAGTGGCATTCTTGCAGAGCACATTTAACACACTCATTCACCTGCCAGTGCAGATCATCGACCCCAGAAAACAGCTCAAACACATCCTATCCCTGGAAAAACAGAGGCTGAACTGTTCCTTGACTTCCTGGCTTAAGAAAATAGATCTGCAGTCAGGCAGCTCCACAGTGACTTGGCTGAGCAGAGACAGGATCACTATGTTATTAGCAATGCAACCGACCAAGATGCTATCAACCAAAAACACTGTTAGAATTGTCTACTCTCCCACAGACTCCCTTCTCCTCATAGAGGAAGGGAGAAAGATACTTTCCGTAAAGCTACTCTAACACCAGATTGCACTCTTTCTTCCCTTAGAAACCACTGCTACATGCTGCTTCAAAACATCTCTTTTTCGCTTTATGTATTTACCTGCTGTCTCACGTCACAATCCACAATCAGTGAAGAAACACTTGGAGGGAGATGAGCCAAGCCTTCAAACAAACACAGACCCAGCCTGCAGAAAGAACGATGAGATCAAAGATGACAGTGTCTTCTCACCCAGCTGGACAGACAGGGATGGAATAACAGCTTCAGGGATCAAGTGGTGAAAGGATCTTATAAAGCCCTACAGAAATGTTGCTCACAAAGGCACTTAATACAAGCAAGTATACAGCTGGATGGAATAGAAGATAGAAAATAAAGATAAAAATGCACCAGAGAGGAGGGAGCTGCTAGAGTCTCTTAGCCTGCCTAGAGTCTCTTTTAGCCAAAGAACCTCGCTTCTGCAGTGGTCCATCTCTCATCTTTATCAAACATTCGCCCTCTTGACGTCTCTGAAATGTTGCATGTAGGCATGAGCCAGGGATTTCTTAACCTTTGCAGGAATCGGTGCACACTCTGAAGTCCAGAACAGGTTCCTCTTGATGCCAGGGTTCACACCTAATGAAAACTCAAGTTCTCAAAACCTTGTTCTCTTCTTCCTGATGAGTTGAGCTGCGCAAAGTTCCCCGCAGTGGAAAAAAGGCAGCAGGCTCCTCCTCTTCAGATTTGTGCATATGGCTTACTGGTTTCTGCATCCTATTGCTGGCTGGCAGCACGTGAAGAGCCGTTCTGCCTGGGAAAGCCTCTGATGTTGTCAGTGATGGGATACGCAGCCCATACACCAACCATGAAGAAGAGTATGGGAAGAGGGAGTCATAGTGGAAGGGGCCATTCCCCTACCAAAGAAAGTCAGTCAAAGTCATCTGCAGAAAGAGGGGGGTCACACAATGTCTTCAGCAGAGCGCTGTGGAGAAGAAGACCCCAGGCTCAAGAAATGTCCCCAGTTGCATAGGAAACCCCTATTATACTGACCAGTGTCTATCACCAACCCACCCAGAAGCCTGCGCCCAGTGTTGTCCCGCAGAGCCAGCCGAGCTTCCCTCTCAGTCACGTTGTAGCTGATGTTCAACAGCTGGATAAGGAGGATGTATCCCATGCCAGCTGTTACAATGGCACAGTACCACACACAGGTGAACGACAGAGCAGAGCTGGCAGCAGGGAAAAAGATGGGAAGGAAGCCATTTAGTTTTGGAGCAGCTGCTTTAGAGTGACTTTCCCTGGTAATCACTATCCTTTCAAATCCCTGTCTGCATCTGCCACAGTGATCTCACTTTGCTGCTTTCATCAGATAATCCTTACAGGCTTTCTCAAAATTAAAGCTTCACAGCTTGCTTAATGAGAGCTTTTAGCTCTACCAGAGTTACTCTTGCATTGCTATAACAAAACCTAGCTCTTTATGCTTACTGTTGTAACGGTACTTGGTCCCTATTTAGGGACACAACGATGCTCACACTCAATAGATCATGAAATGGAGTGTAGAGGAAGGTGGAGTCACTTGTGCTAGTACGCTCTGCCCATCAGTGGCAGCACTACTCTGAACTTGTGTCCAACGCTTCTCACCACCCTCGCCACCAGGCAAGGCACATCAATGCTGGCTGCCCTAAACAGGTAAGTCGGAGGAACAGTCAATAGATAAACAGTGGGGGATGACAGGGAGAGAATGCACATGGATTCCAGGCTGTCAGACCATTACCTGCATTTGGGGGACAAACATATTTAAGGATGCATCAATAAAGGACACAATAAAGACTCTAAACCTCAGCTCCCCCAATTCCCCCCTCCCCACAAATAAATAGTGAATTCTCTCAATGTCTCAGGCTCCCCACCCTAGCAAAAGCATTGATGCATCCCTGCTTTCCAGAGCTTTCTAGGGAGCTCTTTTTGGTCAGGTTTGACCTGACAGCACAGGCCTAGAGCACAGAGTGAGGAACAGATACCTGACCAAGCCCGTTCTCAGCCCATCTCTCTCCCAGACAGACATCTCACCTGTAGTCAGAATAGGCCCCGGGGCAGTAGAACAATGCCACAAATGGAGTTCGGCCCCTACAAACGGTGTGGAGGGTCAGTGTAATCCCATACACAGAGGTGAGCATGAAGAAGGAGAGGGCAAGGATGAATGCTTGGTGGTTCCGCTCCCCTACACAGCTGTTAATCCTCCAAAAAGAAAGAGAAGATTACTTTGCTTAAAAGGAAAAGAAACTGTCTTCTCTTTCCTCCTCCCTCCCCCAGCTGTCAGAGATCCTAATTTCCGAGGTGCTTCTATACAATACCAGCAAAGAACTTTCAAACACGTTCAAAGAAGCTTTATAGCTTTTTACAGAAAGGTTACAAGCACAAGTCAAGAGACCAGTAGGGTAACAGTGGTAAACTGTTTGCCTCAAGCTTAGCAAGTGTAGTAACCTTCACCAAGACACATCATACCCTACTGTTCCTTGACTCCAGTACTGCACGCACACAGGCAGCTTGAGGTTCCCTTGCCCAGGAGAGCAGTAATGTAAGTTAACTACAGGATTGCTAGTGCTCCACAGACCAAATCTAAAACTGAAAAACATACCCGAAACCCTGGATGAAAATCAGTAGAGAACTAAAGGCAATTCTGTAGTATGCTGTAGAAGTTATCAGCTATCAGGTCAACTGTTATTAAAATCGGTAAATAAAATGCACTGCTTTAAAGTACATTAGCATGCATCCACATAACAACCCCATCTGAGAAAAACCGTAAAAAAGAAGCTAACTTAAAAAAGGGGGGTAACGAGAGAGAGAGAGAGAACACACACAGGCTCAGCAGTGCAAAACCTACCAGACACAGTGTCCCCCCCTGCCACAAAGCCGGCAGTGCCCCGCTCGGGCTGGTCTGACCAGCTGGCACCTAGCACACCAGTCCTTTTTCACACCTTCTGGCTCCTCAGCTGACATCCGGGCATAGCCCTGAGCCTCGCCATTCACAGCACGGCCGCTGGCAGCTCCTGACGCATGGAGCCCATTGGAGCTCCCCCTAACACTCTTGCTGGGCAAACCCTGCTGCAATGACTTCTCCCTGCTTGCTGGGACGGGAAGGTAGCCGGGGTCTTTCTTGGCTCGAGACAGGGCTGCAAGCATAAGAATTAACCCGCACGTCAGAGCAACCACTTGGGAATACCCCACGTGGCCTCGTGGAACCACCTCCTGGAGAAACACATAGTACATGTATCCCAAGGAGAAGAGCCCCAGGCTCAAGAAGAAGAGAGTCCGCTCCTTCCTCCTGTGGGTGAGGTAGTAATACCACAGCACCACGACGGGCAGGGACGTCAAGATGACCAGCCCCAGCAGGAAGTGCAGGGCAGCAACGTGGAGGAAGACGGGCAGCAGGACGAGAGGCGGCACGAGGCTGACATTGATCTTCACGGCCCCTGCGAACCAGGGCAC